AGCATGAACACCCACACATGCCTGAGACAGGACTACAACTCAATGCCAGGATTTAGCCTGCTGCTGTTGGTTCCTGCACCTTGGCAGGATGTAATTAAGGTATCGTCAAGCTGAATAGGAAGATGAGACTTAAGCCTAAAAATATCCCCAGTAATTATGGTTTAGATCTGGAAAGCAATGGATGGATTTTGATTTCTGAAAGAGACAGTGCTGTTCCTGAAGATGGTTGAGTAATTATGGAGTGAAAGGTAAAATAAACAGCCTTGTAATTCCCTGTCTGTGACATAGTGCTGAGGTGTGCAAGCAATCTCATGAGGGAGGAAAAAGGTCTTAGTACATAGGTCTGGTGGTTTTAGGGCTTTGCTATGTTTGCTAGCAAATGTAAAACAGGGCTTTGCTATGTTTGCTAGCAAATGTAAAACTTCATTCAAACACAATGAAACAAAGCACCTGTTTCAGCTGTGCATGGTCACTATTCAGGAACATCCATGGCTTTGTTTTAAAACAAGCCAACAAACAAAAAACTCCTCCTTTTGGACTCAAGATTAAACTTCTGTATTTGCCTGTGTAAAAAGCCTTGCTGACTAGTATTAGCCTGGGGAATAATCCTTCTTTCTGAGCCCCTTTAAGACTACACCATCACTCTTCAGTGAGGGCATGCTCTCATTCTTTGGACACTTTGAAGAACACATTGGATAAATGGACCCTGACTAAGGGATAGAAAATGTCCCTGACACAGTGTCTGCACTATTGTTAGCAAGTTACCTGGAAGTAATCTAGTATCAAAGACTGATGAAAAAAAAATCTGTGTATTTCTACCTAAACATCCAAAGATACATAGTGCCCTATCTTTAAAAACACTTGGGTGAAGAAAAGAATGAAACCACTCATAATATACTTTATTTCAAGTGAAAACTGCTGTCCTTTATTTCATCAAAATACACCTTGCCAAAGATTTTTCCTTCCTGCATATGTTATCATTCAGTTTGGAATAATTTGTGGTAGCTGTTTCCTGGATGTTTTTGTTCCACTCCTTGAGTGAGCAATGGCATTTATCTGACAATATGGTGAGATGATTCAAGGAAGACTTGGCTAGAAAAACTAATTTCTTAATTTCATAGTTACTTTTCTCTCTGAATTGATTTACTGCACATTTGTACAAATGCCAGGGCAGTAAATGAGATGAAGCAGGAGCTGGAGGAGGAATTGAGACCACAGAAGCCCTGATTTGACCAGCTCAAATTAGTGCATAAGGGCATCCTTAACCTCCTCCTGAAGTTGTTTGAAAGGTTGATGGCCAAACTGCAATGAAAGTGAAAATGCTGAAATACCTGGTTAGGACAGCAAAGCCATGTGATTGCAAGGCAAGCAGCCAGTTCTGAGAATCCAGCCACTCTGATAGCAAAAGGACATTCTTCACTATATCAGCTAATAGAGACACCACAGGCCATGTGGTCCATCATCACATCACCTGCTTGGTTTGGTAACAATCTAGTTTCTCTCTCACTTGTCACTCACCTAGGTACGCATTGCTTCCCTTCTTTGCAAAGCTCAAGTTTGTCTCCGAGGCTGGGTATGTTCTCCTGCACTAAACCAACCAATTTAACTAACCCTAAACTGTAACTCTTCCTCCTTCTGTGCTGCAGATGGATTAGGGTTTTTCCATGTGGCATTAGCCCACTCAGTGGCTGTGCTGCCTCCACTGTCCCACCCCCCCAGTCACGCTGTCCTCCACTCTCCTTTGTGCTTCCACCATCACCATCAGACCACTTCCCAAAAAGTGCCCATGGCACAGGGGCACAGGAGAGCAGCCAACAATTAGACAGGAGGGTGTTTAACCAGGGCTGAATTTGACTGAAGTTTGGGCTGCTGTCCTTGTCCTGTCCCTCTGCCTGCATTACTTACATCCCTGTGTGGAGCGTTCTGGAGTGAGCATTTTTGTAGTTACAGAGTAGGAGCACTTGCAAATGGAAAAGCTGCTGGACTATTTCAAGAATGTTTCAAAACCTTTAACACTTTATTGAAACTGTTCTCTCATCCATCTGCCAGCAAATCCAGTTTGTTTCTGAGCTTTAAGGAGATATAAAACAATTTAAAATGAGCCCTTGTCACATCCTGACTCTTTAAAAAGTGTTATCTTCTTATGCTAAAGTAAGCAATGAGCACTGTTTCTAAGTGCTTTGTTTTAATTGAAAGGCAGGTATTTTCCACCTTCCATATTGCCATTTAGGGGTGTAGCTTCTGCTTCTCCAAGATATTTGCCAGGAAGTTTGCAGGATTTCTGCCAGTCTGGAAATCCACTGCCCCTCTCACAAAGGCACACTGCTTGGGAAGGAGAGGTTCTGCCTGCCTGCATCAGTGGTTCTCCAGGACAGTTCTCTGTTAGGCTGTGTGCAGTGGGAATGTCTTTCTCCCTGTCTGTGTTGGGACAGGATGGGCATGCAAAGAGCAGTGGGGTGTGAAGATTTTGCGGGGAGATCATTGGAGCCTGGGTCCATTTTGAGAGAATTTTTTTTTTTTCAGTGTAAATATAATTTCTAATGGCTTTTTGCTGGCCTGGAGCATGAAAGGTCAGAGAATATCTTGAAAATTCACTTATAAGCATCTTGAACCAAATGAGTGTCAAATATCTTGTAGGACCATTTTTTTTTTCCTTAATTTAGTTTTGTATCCTGCTCTTTTCCTAAATAACAGTTTAATGACTACGTTCATGAAGAATTACTAAAAGAAAATTAAGATACATCTTCAGCAGTGTGGCAATACCACCTTAAATATGGAGACACTGTAAAAGAATTGCAAAGAAAAGTGTTAAATCTTACCAACTGCTAAGATAAAGTCATCATTGACATTTCTGTGTGCAAGATGAAGAGACTGTGCTTTAGGATGGTCCAATGCTAGAAGAGAACTATAAGTCATCTAATTAAGCAAGAATTTAGATTTCTTAACTTGTACTAACATGAGCCAACCACAAATATTCAGCACTGGTAATTAATCTAGATATTTGCAGAGAAATTAGGGACAAAGTATCTATTAGTTTTCTCTTTTCCAATAAGGTCTTCATCAAAGCATGTCCAAAGCAGGAAAGATTTGTTATCGATCCAGAGAAAGAAAGCTGGCAATACTGGAGTAAGAAAAAGTATCTATTTTTATGTGAAACTACTTTTATGAGGTCACTCCACGAGGGTAAGAAGAATGTCACATTACAGAAATTTTAATTGCATTTATACATTACCATGTGGATCTTATGCATTCTCATTCTATTAGGTGGATTTTGATTAAGTTCTCATTTAGTACAAACTAACAAAACAAGACATCTATAATTAAACTACTTTCAAAATACTACCTGATTATATTAACAGGAAACTATGTATCCTAATCTCAGTGGTAAACTGCTGCTAAACAGTACCACTGTTAACTGAAGTAAGCTTAATGAAATGTTTACCAATTAGACAAATATTCTCCAAAGAGGAAAAAAACACTTATAATATTAGTGTAGACAAAAAAGCTCCTTAAGGTACTTTAACCTTTTAAAACAGACAGCATGGCAAAATCAGAAAAGGTTGCCTGAAATAAGGACGCTAGCATGGCATAATCTTTCTACAACAATTTATCTTTGCTTGGTATGCCCAACCTATCAGAGATAAATATAATTTCCTCTAAGATTCTACAGAAAATTAAGCAAAAAGTCAAAAGCTCAACAGGTAAAAAAGCAAGCCAGAATTAATTCTTATATTATTATTTGAGGTAGTAATTTCCTCTGAGAAAATAAGCCTAATTTTTAGGATATTAAGTACTAAATAGTAAAATGAAGTGACTACAGTCAGTATGTTTTACATTCAAAACAATCCCTTCCTATGTGAAAAAACGAGGATACCACTGGTTATCTGCCTGAGGAACCTGCTCTGGTTGAGGATGTGTTCAGGTTCTCACCTTGTAGGGTTGCTCACTTGCACACTGGGACTAGGTGTTGTATTTTGCTCACTCTGTCTTGTGATAGAGCAGCGCTGGGTATGACTGAGTTAAGCCCAATAACCTCTGGCCACATTCCTAAATCCCAGGGCTGCAGTGACACTGCTGTGTCCCTCCTGCTGCCCTCAGGCACTCTGTGTCGCCGGGGCAGGACACGAATGGTCCATGGATGGAGACTGAGTTTCCTGGCAGCTGCAGTCTGGGCTCATCAGCTGGAGCTGAAATCCCTGTCCTTGAGGGAATCCCAGCAGGCTCCAGCAGAACCATCAGCTGGTCTTTAGGTTGTGTGAAGCACAAGCAGTGCTGGGAACCTTTTACCTGAGATAAAGCTGATCTTTCCTAAAGCCCTACTTTGCTCACTGAGACCAGGGAATAGCATTCCAATAGGATTCTGGGGAAAGATCTGCTCTTCTGACTCTTCCATCAAGTAAAAAACCATTAAAAACATAGCCATGTATTTCCATCCAGTTTCATGTAGATAGTTTATAAAGCAACATAATTCCTATTTCTTCATGCACATTGTTAAACAAAAACTGATCTTTATCGCATTATAACCCACAATAATGAGATTGAAATTTAATTTCAAGTGCAAAATAAATCTGTATGAGTTCTTCAGCAGCTTCCTTTCATCTAACATGGAAAGAGCTTTTTCTCTTTAATTGTGTCTCTCTGCCTTCAGGAACATTGAGCAGCCTTTTAAACATCTGCTCTTTCCAACCTGCCACTTAACAAGTTATGGTTCAGAATAATTTTCTCTTTGGCTTATTTTTCTCTCTTGTGAGTTGCAGATTATGAACATAAAAAAACACAGAGAGCCACCAAAGTCTGAAAGCCAAATATGGGGAAACCTCTGCAGCAGTCTTTATTAATGTGCTCTATATAGAAATCTGCATTTTTAGTTTTTAAGTTTGTATATTTCCTTTTAAAAGAAAGCTGGAAATTACAGACTTTTTTTGGTTTAACATGCACTGTTGTCAGCTCCACAGCCTATCCAAAGAGCTCTCAAGGAGGAGATGGCAGTGAGTACTTACTGAGGCACAGCTGCTTTCCGACTTGTCTTCTAGAAAGCCAATTTGGCATGGTGTCCTCTGATTCTGCAGCCAGTAGTCTGTTGATTCTAGCAGACTGTTACTGCAGAGAATCTGTTAAAACAGTTAAAAATAGTTAAAATAATAACCCTATTGTGCTTTGGGGGCTGGAACCCTGTTGTTGTAACTAAATGGAAATTTTGTTGACAAAACTGGGGGAAGTGGATTGGGGGGGGAAGATGGACAAGACAGGCCTGTTTGGTTTGGACCCGTATTTTTGAAAAATTGAAAAATTCTGAAATATTGAAAAATATTGCTATTAGTTTTGTTCTGCATAAAAGTGATAAACAGACATATTAGAAAAACTAATTATTCAATTACACCAGAGCACACCAACTTGCAGCCTTCATGACTGACTGTATCTGTCTCCACAGTATATCAGTACTGCTCATTCTGCCAGCAGCCTCATTTCTGGCACTTCTAGGCTCCAAACTCTTTCTTAAACAAGTTTTTCTGCTTTCTGAGAAGCTGAAGTATTTTGGACCTTCTGTAATGAGCCCTGAAGTCAGTCAGCACCCTGAGACCAAAACTTTGTGTTGAGTCTCTGTGTTGACTCAGCCCTACAGCTTGTGCCACAGCCCCACTCAAACAAAACCAAAATGGGGCTACAGAGATCTGTAGACTTTAAAGAGGCAAAGCCAGTTTGCAAATCTGATGCTTAGATTAAACTGAATTCTTTACTTTCTGCCTCTGTACTAATATTCTACCATGAAAAAGAGGGACCATTAGTATCTTTAAAACAGCTAGGGAAAATATTGGTGCACCATTGGTGCTACTTACAGAGCATTTCCTATGGCTTATCATCTTCACTAGGCAGCAATGTTAAGAGGTATATTTGTGAAATATATGTATATTTTATTTTTACTTCTTGCAATTCTTGTACTACCTGGAAATAGCCTGTACTCTCATTTTTGGACTTTAAATAATTATATTTAAAAATAGAAATTTGTTGCTATACCTAGGGAAAGAAAAATCTATTTACAGTACTTTCCTTTACCTGACTGCATGTTTTGTATTGACACACATTTGTGCTACTTCAAGAACACTTGATCTCTAAGCCTAGATCCCTTCCTTTGGAAAAGAAATGAGAATAACTTGTGAGTCCTTCTCATTTCTCAGGGAAGATGAATGACTGCGGAAAGCTCATCTGGCCAGCTGACACAGTTTCTAATCCTTGGGGGCATCCAGGAGTAAGCTTATTACCACCCACAGATTAACTCCCACTCTAATTTTTATCTTTCTGGTAGAAAGTCAGTTGCACAGTTAATATTTCACTCCCTGTATTATACTTTTATTGATTTCTGAATAAAAGTCAGCAGGAGAGGGTTGAGGAGGTAATGGGGAACACCACAGGCCCTGAGCTTGGCCTGCTTCATTCCCCTCTTTTCGTGCCCTCCATGGAGACTTCCCACCTTTGTGGTTGTTTCTCAGTACACCAGCCCTGCTATGGGTTTTCTTCCAAAGATCTTTAAAATACAAATTTAAGGTTCAAAAAATATTCATGGGAAGTAGTGTACCCAAAGACTTTCTTCTGAGAGTGCCAAAGGCTCTCAGAAGAATGGATGCTTCACCAGCCTCTTCTTGGGGGCTGCCAGCTAATCTTGTTTACCAGTGCAACAACTCTGCACTCAGTAAATTTTATAACCTCCCATCTCGGTGCAAAAAGATTCCTGCCATCATAACTAACCCCAAGACTAGACAGGGAAAATAATACTCTCCATATCCCAAAGAAACAATTTCCTGTCAGTGTAATCAACTGTTGTGTGGCTTTCGTTTTTTTTTGGATTTTTTTTTTTTTGAGCAAATCTTGAAGCATTATGAACTGGTTGGTAAAATCTAGAATTGAGCATTGTTTTCCTCTTTCTGAAAAATTACCATTCTCTGAGGCTTTGTGAAGACAACAGAATTGAACATACAAAACCACACATAAACATATATTTATATATGATTTCAGATTTAATTAGACTCTAGACATTCTCATCCTCAAGGGCTGAAGTTCTAATAACTTGTTAAAACATAATTTTGTATACACAGGAAACTTTAAGCTCAAACAGCTTTTGCTGTAACAAGCAATCTTGTTTAATTTCCTTAAAGATCATGGTGAATTTTTCTTCAACCTTAATGACTTTAGATCTTTCTTTCCCAAAACTTGTTTTCTGAGAAACTGTGATAGGCAGAAATTTATCATGTCAAAACAAGCTGCAGATATCCTTGGTGCTGCTCATCTTTGTCTCAGAAGGACTTTGTCTCATTTCAGAACAGCTCAATCATAGCAGATGTATATTGTACATGACAAACCCATGAAATGAGCTGGGCAGTCCACACTTCACCTCTCCTGTGGGACGTTAAATGATCCTTGGTACCTTTAATTTTCTTTCAGAGATTGTTTTATCAGGAAGCAAATACTGATGAAGATAAATGTTTTGGTCTGGTCAGGTCAGGTCATGGTTGCCAAGCTTGAGTCACTCCAGGGTGGTTTATGAGTTCCAAGGCTTTATATTGCATTTAATTTTTGTGTATAGCTTTTCATAACAGACTGTGAAGTCCAGGGTAGAAATTACTACATGGAAGTTTGGGACAGCATGTGATTTCTAAGTAACCCCAAGTAGATAAGTTGGCAGAGGTCAGCTGGTCAGATCCTAAGGAACAGAGGTTGGCTCAAAGTAATTTGGAAAGGCTCCAGAAACTGCTGCAAAAAGACAGTGCTATGGGGATGGGGGAATGCAGGAATGTGTGCCAGAGGTGTCCTTGCACATGGTCTGGTTTTACACAGGTCTGAGTGGAGATGACATTTGAGCCAGTGGTGGCAGGAGCGAAGGGTAAATCTTGGATCAGTTTAAACTCCATCTTATGAAACACAAACTCTTGCATTAGGACCATATAGACATGATATGACTCAGAGCTTTCCCCTTGGTACTTCTGTGGAGGAAGGATAATTTGGGCTACCCTGCAATGCTGGTTACAGGTAGGGTTACACACAACTGCTGTGCAAAAATGTATCTCTAGACACCATGTGAACTTTTGGCCATACTTCTTTGGTAACATACAGTATTGTTGTGATCAAAGACACGTGGTGAGAATAAATGGAATATTTCTTACAGCCTCTTGCTATTGTAAGGCACTTCTCCCTGTTAAATAGGTTCATGTGTTTAGACAAAGTGGGAGTTTGCACATGCATGAAAACTTGATTGGATATTCATGCTTTTAAAAGAACATACAAAGTCCTTATAGTAAAATAATATATGACTGCAGTGATCAAAAGTGTAGAAGCTTGAAGGAGTTGATCTAAATTAACAGAGCTAGTTAATTAATCACAAGCAATGTGAGAACAGGGACTCTTCGTATCTCTACCAGCATATTACCACTGCCATTCTTAAAATGGTAATTCTTCTTCTTTAAGTCTAATTAAAGCATTTAAGCATTTTTTTCAAAATATACTGAGGTGATCTGTACCAAAGGGCAAGAAAACGAACCCTCTTCTCCTTCAGCTGTCAGCCTGCAGTCCTGCTCTTTATAGCAAAAACTATCACTTGCCAAAATTTCATCCTCCTGTCTTGTACTTATCTTCATTCTTATTTAATTAAGACAAGTGCAGGGCCAATCCCACTGACACATTGTTAGAATTTTTCCTATCAGCTGAAAACTGAAAGCAGAATTTGATGCATTGACCATCCTCATGTGACAGCTGCACACACTATACTGCTGTATATCTGGTTTGGAGCAGGATCATCACACTCAGAAAATAATTCAGGATGAATCTGCATCATGCACTAAATGTGAAATCAGCAGTAATTCATGGTTCTAAAAAAAAGTTTTCCACTCTCATCTAGAGACTCAGCCGTCAGCATTACTCAGTGTGTTGTGAATCAATGAACTAAATCAGCCTCTAGCAGAGTGTGGATTAGAAAAGTCACTCTTTCCCAGAGGAAAATACTGCATATGAGTTTAGTGTAACAGCTTCCTGCTCCCTGATTTAGATCAGAAGACATTAAAATACAGTAAATATCTAAAACCGAGACAGCATTAAAAAGGCTCTGCTCCACAAATGAAACATCTGCGTCTTCGTGACTGAACATCTTAATTGCTTTGGTTAATTACTACTCATCAAAAAAGATAGGAAAGTGGGATATACAGAATAAAATGAGATATCAAGGGGCACATCTCCTGCATTCATTTAGGTTGGTCTGTGTAGTAACAGGCTACATCTCATATGGTTCCTGACAGGAGCCAGTCATGCCAAATATAACTGCTCAAACCTGCAAGTCAACTGTTTAAACTGTTCATTTGCAGCAGGAGCCCAGAGCATTTCACTCCACCACCAATTACACATCTAACTGCAAAACCACCTAACACAGGCTGAAAGAGAACTCTTCATCCTTTTCCACACACACACACACAAAAAGTAAACTTTCTCTGACAGTAGTGTAAAGAAGCCAAAAACATCCTGCTGTTTGTCAGAAGTATTGTCAGAAGTTAATAACTTTTCTTTTAGTGTGCTGACAGTCATAAAATTGACTTGTTTTACAATGAACAGCTCATGTGATACAGGCTACCCTTTAAAAGAGAGTGATACTTGTGAATGTGATCAATCAGGAGTTTTGTAAAGGCAGTGGTGGCACTTAGTGTTGTGCCACTCTCCTTCACTCTTATATAAACTAAATAACTCTGAGATTAAATGAAAATTTAAGATGTTTTCCCACACAGTAGATTTTCTGTCTATATGAGTCAGCAGTATTTTTAAAAACTGTTATTTTGCAAATGAACCCTTTGATCAAATGAAAGAAATATTGACATTTTATCTTTTAGCCATGTTGGGGTGAGGAAGAAAAGCCCAGTCCCAGCATACACATCTGTCTTATCAAGTTCCCTTTTTATATCAATGATATTATATCTAACAAATTTTCTGTGCAAGGTTTTCAGCATAAGGAAAAATCTTTAGCATCTACATGTTTTATCCTTCACTCTTCTTACAGAAAACAAACAAACAAAAAACTACAAACCCAACATGAAAGCATTATTAAAAGACAGAATTATGAGAAGACTGAATGAACTGTGAAAGTTTAAAATGAATGCTATCTTTTCAGCTCTAGAATTATGCCTGTGGGAGATAGTAGAGCTCTGAGGTTTATTGCAGAGTGAGAGGTGAAAGCCTGTCCTCCTCAATAGTGTCTGGTAGTGCCCCCTTCCCTCAGACTGTGCTGCCATAACAAGCTTCTAGGAAGGAGAAATAAAAGGTCTTCACCTTTTATTAACAGTTGTACTGAAATTAGCTACATGCATAAAATGACATTTGACCCCTCCTAATGACATACATACACACACAGGTGCCACTCCCCCCCCCTCCCCCCCAATGCTCTAAATTAAATTAATAACAACAACATATAAACCTGGTTTTAGGAAACAATAATAGCAGTCTATACCACCTCTTCTTGTAGAAACCATTCCAATCAAAGTTTTTTTCATGAAGGACCCTCCATTGCATTGACCTGAGGAAGCAAAGCTGTCTGGGTCCCAGAAAATTGTCATTTACTGAGAAGTAGTCCTGAAGGTTTTCATGCTATGCATGGCTTTTATTTCATATAATGAAATGTCAGATAATGAGGTAAATTAGAAAATTTCAATGGGAGTTTACCTCCCATTTATGTATAATGTATTTTGGGACCAGACCTTTTCTAAGTATCGCTTAAATTTTGTATTCCTCACTAAAGCTGAAAGCTAAAAAGCAAAGCTGTATATATACTGGACTTTGAATATAACATAAACTTAAAAGTTACCTTCTTACATGCTGTGACAGAGCTTCCCAAACTGCTTGCAGAACTGTCTGTGCTGCTGCCTTGGCGCTCTGGGACTTCACGCATCAGTGGAGATTCCAAGTTGCTGAAGAACAAAAAAGAAACAAGCCCCCAAAAACCTTTCCAGTGACTCAGCCACATAAATAACTCAAGTAATACCAAAACACAGGTCAGTAAAGAGATGTAACTTAGAATACTAGATGCTGTCTGTATTCTGCTAGCTGATGTTACCTACTAGTCTATTTATTGCTAATTTTCCCGTTTAGGAAGACTATCTTGAGCTTTTGGATATAAAATAGCAAACTGATGTCTTTTGAACACTAGAGGAAAGCATAAACTGCCTACAACGAGACCTGTCTGTCTTGAATGCCACTGTAAAAAGTGGCACTAGCTTGTTTTCATAAGCAGGCAGCTTGGAGCAGCAAATGAAATGCTTGGTAAACAACAGGAATATTTGCTGCATTTTTACCTGCCAGGAAGGAAGAAAAGGGGTAGTGATTGCAAAGTAAAAAACACAACAGCAGAGGCAGTATTCTGTAATCCAGATGGAACAGCTCAGTACACTGTAGGTTTGGGGCTAAGCTAAATCATGCACATATTCTGTTTTGTGATTCAGTGGTACACAACAAACATGTTTACTTTGGAACTGTGCAGATGTGAAGTACAAAGCCATAAAACCAAGTTCCCCCAGCCAAATTATTTGCATACACAGCAAGAACCAACCCTCATACTTTTCTTCTGGAATAGTTCAGGCCAGTCTTCACAGATCTTCCATCAATTAAAAATCACATTGTTCCAAGATTAATGCAGCTTCTCCCCCTGGTCATGACACAATCACAGTTAAAGGCCATATGTGCTAAAAGACTATTTATGCAGGAACATACTAAGAGAAAACTATCCTACATGGTCATGTTTTGCTTCTCAGATTGGGTCTTTGGAATGCTTAGGACTAGCCATGAATATATGCATTCCCACTGGTAAAAAACTGTGTCAATGAGAATTCTGCTGACGTGTGTAGTGCTATTCCACAATAATTTAAAAAAGTATCTAGATGCACTGGAACTAGAAGAGTGAATTAAAAAATATAAAACTAATTTAGGAATTTTTAATTTCTAGCTGGGGGGAAGTTTCATGAAATACATGGGAGGACTGAATATAGATGCACAAGAGAGACCAGAGGATTAATTGACTTGGAAAGTATGTTACCACTCAATACTCTGGAAGATACCAGCATCATTTGTATTTAGAAAGAAGACTTTTGCCTGTTTACAAAACTCTGCTTCATTGTTCAGATGATATAGATACACAGTAATATTTCTGGGCAGTAATTTCTCTGGCATTTGACACAGCAAAACAGCATTTTATAGCTCTTATACTGACTTCTTTAACAAAATGAGGGAAATTAAACACATGAAATCAATTCTGGCTTTCTACCTCCATCTAAAGTAGCAATCTCATATTCAGAGGGTCAAATCTTATATAAGTTAAGTATCCTCCTTGATAAGTCCACATTGAGATGCAGCCTTTGGGTGAGGTAAAACTCACCACTTCTAGCAGAAGCTGTGCACTGCCTCTTTTTATAAGATGCATCACCTCTGCAATCTGACAGAAAATTACAGATCAAGGCTGAACTACAAGACCTGTTGTACTCTTTTCTCCTGCTCTTCACTGAGAGGAAGGCTGAGGGCCCTGCCACAGGGAGCTGATGGGCTTCTAATGACTATTTGCTCTCAGTTCCACTGTGTGCAGGGAATTGAACTTCAGTGCCTGAAGTGTTGTTGAGTCTAACAGCAGCAAAGATAACAATTTGATAACTACCTGAAGGCCTTCTTTAGAACTTAATTAAACAGTACAAATAGAATATCACATTAAAGCATAGCTGGAAAATGTAGTTGAAGAGTTACATTCTGGAGTATAAACAAATCTGCACTATCTCTAGACAGTATATCAGCAAGGGGTAGCACATGACATGGGCCATACAAAGCAAAGCTCTCCTCCAAGTCATGCGGAAAGTGAAATGATCTGTAAAAGCTTCTTAATCCTTTAAAATCTGTGTTCTTTTCAAAATAAGCCCACTTTTCATTTGTAAATGTAGAAAACCCTGTTAAAAGCACATGGTAATTGAAATAAATGTAAAATGCCATTAAATATTTTCAATGAGACCAGGCACTCACTCATACTAAAGTTCAGACAGGAAACTCAACTGCCTTCGGTATTCCCAAAATTTAGTAAACCTAAATCCTCTTGTCACCTATCCCAGTCCTCAAGAGTTGTATTTCACATCCAGCTGATAACTTGGAGCACAGGGAAAATCAGCAACTGTGTTTCACAGGACAAGGGATACTGCATTTACAAGTATCTCTAACACTTTCAGAAGCACTTTCAGAGCTTCTTTTTTAGGTTCACATCTCTTGTTCTGTAACTGCTGAGCAGAATCCCTGTTCTCAGGCTGCACTGCAGTTCAGCTCCTGAATTGTGCCAGGGACAGGAGCTCTGGGCTCCCACCACTTGCAGACAGCTTAAACCAGTCAGGGTTCAGTTGCTGAAATGGAGAAAATTTTAACAAAGAAGTGTCAAAATAGGAGAGCTACATTCAGTTTTAGACTCCACAGCCTTTTCCTTATTGAGTTTATGGCTACACGATTTCTAGAAGAAGCACAGGGAAACCCCCCTGGCCACTCTCGCTGGTCACTCAGGTCCATGACTAGGTGTGACACAAAGGAGACGTGCAGCAATGCATGCCAGCTGAGGGGAAAATGAGCACCCAGCTGTGCTGCTGCAGGCTGGGAATTCAGCACCATAAAAATGAGTCTTCTGTAACTCAGGAAGTGCAGTGTATGAGGTCCTGCACAGATACTTTCAGGGGCAAAGGTCTTTCTTCCAACACTGAACGTGGATTTGGCTTTTCAACATCTCTTTTTCTATTATCTCAACTCTCAGTTAGGGCAAAGTTCCCTTTTCTCTTTATCCCATGGGTACCCTTCCTAAGCTTTCATTTTCAACAGGTGTTTTCTCAAGAGACCCTCCTCAGGCCATACAGCTCTGCCACCCTCGCTCTGTAGCAAAGGCACTAATATAAACCCATTTTTCACTAACTCTCCAGGGAAAAGATATTCTGGCTTTTAGAAGCTTCTGCTCTCATTAGTTCCTCAACAGCAGGAAGCAGAATGAAACTCTTGCGGAGATGCAGCCAGCTCATCATCAAGCAATAGCTCTGCATTCACATACTATGCTCGTTACTTCACATTAAGAGCTTACACCAAGTGCTGGACTTTCAAGACATCTGGCACAGATTGGAGCCTTTTCACTACAAGATAAAGAAAGCTGCTAGAGTTTTTAGGTCTCAGTTCTCAAGTTTTCTTGGCTCCCTTGTTTAGTATGTGATGGAGAAGGCTGATCTGTGTTAGATGTGCTCATCTGACTTGCAGGTACCACAAAAAGCCACAGGCATAGCAATCGATCTCTGTTAAGGAATGGCTCATTTTGAGAGTTTTCTTTTGGTGTGAAAGATCCTAACCTATAATTCAGCTTTTGAAACTGTAGTTGGGAACCTGGACCTAAGAGTTGGTGTTAAGTGCATAATTTTCACTTTGGTATTCACATTAATAGAGAAGTCTCCACACTTATTAACCACCAGGTGCTGTCTTACTGATTCATGAATTGTCACTAATAACTTTTTTTTCCTACAAGCTATATGCACTCACAAAGAATACAAACAAATTTCCTGGAAATTAGAGTTCTGTGGTAAATGACTGTGAGGTTTATATCACTGACTGTAATAATAACACATGGTGTATTACTGTCCAAAATGCAAACGAATTGCTTCATCTTTCCTATGTTAAATAATTCAAAAATACTGACCTCGATGACTCAAGACTTAATCAAAAAACCCACAGCTGCTCCTAAAAATAATTATCTCTGCAGATGTGGCAGATGGTGCTACATCAACTAAGATGAGGTAATTTAAAGAATTCCCCAGGTTATCACTAAAGAAAATTAATCTTGTGAAACAGTATCTGAAACTTCAATTTCCTACCATCTTGAACAAGCATAAACAGCTTCCCAAAACTTGCTGTTCAATAATCATTCCTAAGGAGCAATCTCAATAAATAGTAAGTGACCATTACATATATATTTTTTGAATCAATCATATTACAGCCTGCTGCTTTTTCACTTTTCATTATGACTCCTAATCTTGGCATTTTGAACATAGAAAACATACTGAACCATGAAAAAAATAATCTTGAAGGAAGCAAACTGAATGAACACAGGGAGGTTTGTCAGTGCAATTAATGCCAAGCTATAGTGAGCTCCATTTCTGTTGTTCTGCTAATATCTGTAGTGAACATCATGAACAACAAAAAAGGGATGCATCCCATTTTGAAATAGAAATATGAGAGAAGTGAAAGCAGAGCAAAATACCTTAGCATCTTCTTACTTCTACCCTCCCAAATAAACCTGAAAGCTACTAAGCAACTGAGGGAGGCAGCCAGCTTAATCCAGACCCTAAGCAAGAAGCAGTTTTGAAAGGCATGCAGTGTTCAAACAGCATCTCTTAACTTCAAAGCCTTTTGAAGTGGACAGACTGGTCATACTTTTTCCTCATTCTACCTTTCAAATTTTACAGTTTTAAATTTTACCTTTGCAAGTAAACAGGTCAGCAAAGTCACTAGGAGCAAAATCTTTAGATGTAACAGTGTCAAAGTTACTATTCTAATCCATATAAATGGTTTTTATTCAGTCTGGACAATGTGTATACTTCAATCAGAGCACAGATGGTTAGTCAAACAGATGCTCTATAAATATCTCTAACAAATGTCTTTCTGATTTTATTATGGATTTGGAACTCAAGAACAGAATATAATCACTGGCAATATCAGGATTGCATCTTGTAAGGTATTAATAGACTTTTTTCAGTCTCCCACGGCTGCTATTGGCTTCATGGGAAACAAAAATACTGAATATTTCCCTTCACTGTCTGTACACTCTGACAGGTACAGGACTGGGTTTTCCAGATGAGCACACTAAAAAGACTAGAAGTTTAAATGCTTTATATTCTGATTTCTCATTTCATAGTGTCTACTGGGTACTCTTGATTTACATTTCATTTTTATGAGTGATACAGCTGCCAAAAGACCAAGTCTTAAGCTACATGCTGATGAAAAACAGATGCAGAGAAAAGATAATCCATGCTGGGGTTCACTTCACAATGCCCAGAGAGCCCTGAATGACCTCCAAAATAAACCAGTAAATAAATCTATAAGTCTCTGTAAGCAGTAGCAATCATCAGCCTTCTTTCAAATCATGTTTTTAAAATATTATCAAAGAACAGGCAACAGTTTTACTGAAGAACAAATGTAAAAAAAACTAACTACATTTTTTATGATCTACTTAGAAATATTCCTTCCTTCTTGAGTTTACTGATTGAATTACTAAGGCTAAAATAACTTTATGTACAAGTCTGACAAACTCCTCCACATTCAGTAGCTATGGCAGGATATATTCAGTTCAGAGAGCTGACAATCAAATCAAAGAGTTGGCACTCAGGAGCTGAAAAACATATGATTGGGCTGGTGGCCTTTGACGGTCAGTAATTTACTGACAGAGAGTCAGCCCAATGTAAAACCGGCTTTTGCACACAGCTGATAGGCATCCTGCCTTTTCCCCACCTACCCCTGGATTTGAGATGCTGTAAGCCAATTCTAGACAGAACTTTGTTATGCTAGTAGAATGGCTACTTAATAAAGAAAACTTCCAGAAAGAAGTTCTGGAAGTTTTCCTTATTATTTCCTTATTTCCAGCCTTGGACCTTAGTCAGAGGAAACTACAGGAAAGGACAGGAGGAGCTGTGAGATCTCTTCTGGTGGGAAATGCCCACACCAATTCACAGGTAACAGGAACAGCTGCTGAGTTCCTGAGGTGCAGGGTGTTTTAGAAGGTACAAAAAGATGACCTGGATCAACAGCTAGGGATCAGCAAGGTCTGCTGAAGAAGAAGGGCTGACTTGCAGAAGATTAAGGACAGACCCTTAAATGCAGGGAAGGCTAAAGGACTTTACCTTATGGAGATGGACTGAAAGACAACTCAGACTGCTTTTCTTGCTTTTCTGCCCCAAAAGCAAGGAGTGTGTACTCAGGTCTGGAGTGCCAGCCAGTGGGAAACTAAGGCTCTGCTGAGGGTTTGACTGCAGGAAAGATAAGAAATCTTGTTAAAGGAAGGATTCTTTGAGCAATTAGCCTGTACACAAATAACTTAAGTGAGCAGTGCTGACTGGGAAGATGATTTTAGAGAGATACAGGCACAGGTATCACAGAAACATCAGAACAAGGCAGTTTCATTTCCTCTACAGCAAAGCAATAGAATTGCTACTATTTCAGCCTACTAAGTCAGCAAAAACCAATATAAAATCTGAAAAATTCTTAAAAACATGTCCCACAAAAAAATCCCTTATTCACCTACCGTATGTAGGTGTACTGTACAACACTACTGGTCCTTGTGTTGTGGAAAGGAGAACCAAAGAGGAAATAACTGTTTTTCCATTCTAGCAAAAATATGTTCCTGACTGTGTATTTATTAAGAAATTTATATTATTTCTGCATTTTTGATGGCAATGCCTATTCTTAATATAGGATGTGTTGTTAGTGCAGCACAATGTCATAGTTCAAATGTATGATGTTACCTGATCCTCCTTTAAAAAGACTGGAAAAAACATTGTGACACAGCTGGAAACTGGTGAAATTTCATCCAACTTAAATACATAACAAATGTGCAAGCAGCTCCCACAGATTTCAACTAGAAATAGAAATTCACAGCACTTTTCAGGATGAAATCAAAGACATTGAAAATTAGGCTGTCATGCCATAAACCACTGGGTAATTTTTCACAGCCTGTTTTATATGTTTCTTGTATCCAACAAACAACTTGTGTTCCCTGGCTGCTTCTCTCATCCTTTTGCTGTGCACAAACTGTCAGCTGGGAGTCCCAGGACAAGCAGCGCAACACCACACAGGAACACATAGGTGTTCTTATGTGGAGGATGTAAATTACACCTTAACTCATTCATTAAGTATTTTTGGCATCCTATTTATACTATATAGCCAAACACCACAGACAAGCTTCTCAAACAGCTTTTGTCATCAACAAATGTGATTCTCATTTGGAGCATCGGAGCAACAACAGTAAAATACTGACAAAACAAGCCTCAAAGCACAGAACATGCAAACCAGTATTTCACTATCTTAGAATTTTTTTAAAGGCCATCCTCTAAAGATCTCAAATTTAATTTATAAAAGTTTTTCAGTGATTATATTCAAGACAGATATTGAATATTTCTGAAGGCAAGAGTAATGTGACGAAGATGTTCATAACTTAGAAGTAAATGGATATGTCACGATTTTATTTGAATAGAAAATGTGTAGCTAATCAAACCTTGCTAGCTGTTCGTGTGTTTTCCTTTTTAGATTGATTATAAATCAAATAGACTGTACAAGCATAATTGAAATGTGGCAGGTAGTCAGGATTATGTGCGTGATCAGAAGGTGAACATCACTTTCATCTTTTGAATGGCATTTTCCTAATATTCAGCAGACACACTGAAATTCTTTGTACCACCTCTCCATAGAAAGAATAAATCTGGCTTTGGAATTATGAGATTAAGGAAGGGGTCCTGTCTGTACCTAAATACAGATATTTAAGATAGGAGCTTGGGAATTTCCCACTGTTGCAGCATCACTTTCAGCTACTTTCAAAAAAATAAAAAGCAAAAGTCGTAGTGAAAATGGACTGCTGATACTGGAAAACCAGATTTTTCATAACAGAATTTGAATTATGGAACAACCTGGGGCCTTGGAAACAAAAAAGTAAGCATATGACAAGCCAAGTGGTTATAGTATCATGATGTACAGTGTTCTTTATTACAAAGCATGAAAACTGACTTCAGTGTAGTGAAGATGCACCTGTCCATATCACAGAAGTTAATATCTCTGAATACTTTAGGAAATTATAACAAAATATTTATTCCAAATGCCTGAAGACTCCTCAGCCACCAGTAAGCCACAGAATGGGTCACTAAAGCATGACAACTTCTTTTTTCTTTTCTTTTTTTCCCTGTTTTTTTGGGGGGGAGGTGGGGGAGAGAAGCATTTCTGTGATCTAAGTCAATCAGAGCAGAGGGAGAAAAACATGATGAGGTGATCAGAGATTCCTATTATCAGGAATCTGTCAGGCATGCACTAGGTGAACCAGTGTCACACACAGGGACAGTGACACTGCAGAGTGATCCTTCCCACCAGCAAATAAATATCCAGGTCAGCCTGTGTGGATGCTCTCAGGTGGGAAGGAGGGAGTGCTTCAGGTGAAACAGGCAGATGAGCCTCACTCTCAGCACAGTGGTGGCTTGCAGGTATTTTGGGAGCCACCAAAGACATTCTGATCTCCTGTTTGGCAGAACAGATTTTAGCAGGTGCTTTGAACCCAAATGCTTGAATGCATCCCTTCTACTCAACAAGAGAACCAAGATTTTGCTGCTGTGAGCAAGGCCAGGAGAGTTGGTTGATACTCTTCTAAGGAGAGTCTGCTCTTCTTCCTCTGTTCTCAGTAATCACATTGCCCAATTGTAACATCATTTCTACTGTAAAATGAAGGCAATTTGTAGCCTATTGTAATTAGTTCCTTTGGTCAGGCACCTATACCAACATATCTATGCATCAAAAATAAAACTGGTCAAAATGACACTTCAGAGTTGGGATATTGGTCCCTACTAAACTCTATTTGATTATGGGAAATATTTTACCTTAACAGTATCTACAGTACTTTCAAAAGTACCTATCCAGCAAATGTATTATTTCTAGTGAATGCATATATTTCTTCAACTTCATTATTTTTCCCAGCCCTTTCAATTTGCAAGGAAGCCAAGTTGGTTTAGATTCCTGCTAAACCTTCCAAAACATTGTCTAGGATTGTAATGGAGTTCAGAAAGCAATATGTTTTTACCTTGACTAATGATATTAGAAAAGTAAAACAATAGTCTAAAAATAAGTGTTTTCATCTGAAATATTCACAGAAATTTCCTATTCTCTTTAATCCAGTATTGTTTCTATGACCACCTGCAGTTACACTTGTAAACTAGTTGAAATGTCAGGGTACATTCTGCTTATTTTAATGCCAAAGAATACATTTTGTCCTGGTTTATTCACAACAGATCTTATTTTAACATATTTTACATGCCTGAAATATTCTTGAACAATTCTGATTTGCTACTAATATCCCAAAGAAACAAAAATCTTACCAATTTTGATGCTGTGTGAATATGTCAATGAGTACAGTCTGTGATTAGAGAGAAAAAAAATCTCAAAACTCATTACCTTAAAAGTATGGTTTTTTTAAAAAAGAATGGTAACATTGTAAGAGATGTGAATTAAATGAACCTGCCTCTAATCACCTTGGCTTTTAATATGATAAAACATGGTTTTGTGCCATTCTGTCAAGATACTGCAAACATTATATTTGGTTTAACTAGCTTCAATTTGTGAATTTCCTTTTTTCCATAGACTGTAATGTGATAAACAGGATTGAGTGGTAGGTGAAGGCAACATTCACAACTTTCTCCTCACTTATACCAGCTTAAAAAAAGCATGAGATTTCAGTCCAAGAAACTTGAGCTTTTTTGGCAATATGAGTGCTTATTTCTGCTCTCTAAAATCTACAGCCTTTCATACTCTATAATGAACATGGGACATTATCTCTGGGAGTCTAACAGTGAATCAGGTCAATGTGTTACTAATTTAATTAATTCCTTGGTAGCATGATGTAGACAAACTGCCACTGCTTTGCAATGAACCTCAGATTAATTATGAAATGTTGTGATACCTGGGTTTGACATGGTTAACTTGTTCCCATTGGGATGCACAAGGTGCAGCAGGACCATCTGCCCCACGGCCTGAGCTCAGGTTAAGCTCTCAGACAACTTTATCACTGCCTGCAGGGTGATTCTGTGAGTACTGGCCAAATGAGTATTCCTACACTTACAACTGATGAAAAAAAAATATAAACCAGCTCTTCCTATTAACTTCATTAAGATCAGAGGTTGCCACTTGTTTCATGCCTTTGGCTGTGCTTAAATTTTACTCTGAACATTAAGCTCTTTCAATTCAGAGGAACGAAAACACAAGTACGTACTTAAATCCAGGTTTAACCATATTCATTCCTGTTGTTTCATTAGTGGGGGTCACTGTAACAACTGCAGCTACAAAAAGACACAGGTAACACAGAGGTCTGGTTCTGTGTATGCAAAAGCAATTCATGCAAAGTAAATCCAGTCCTACAGCCTCTTTGTTTGTTTCATTATTGGACTTGGACTAGTATTTGTATTTATATTACTTGTATATGGTCTGTCGCTATTTTTTCAGTAGTCAATTATTTTTCTTATATGTGATGTCTTAAAAGCCTTGCCTTCGGAATCAGAAAATCACCTGTTGCACACAACAAATACATACTTAACTATAAAATAATTTTTCTAGTATGAAATAAAAATCTGCAACTGTTTCTAGTACCAAAAACCACCTCTCTCTTATAGTCATGTACACTGTTCCATAATGCACAGATTCCCAAAATCTCGGAAGTATGGGTATATTTGTAAAAACTCTGTGTTTGGTAGCTCTACTAACCTTAAATTACATCATGTAAACACTGATACGGGTCATATATGCTACCTTTGGGAAAGTGGATAAAGTGACCATTGGATTTCACTGAATTTATGGCATGTATTATGTTTAGGATTGAAGGTCTTAGCAGATACAATGTGATCTACAACTAAGCTCCCTAAGACCTGGGCTATTACTTCTGTATTTTAAAATGTTCAAGAAGCATTTTGATTTATTCCAGTTGAGGGGAAGGCCTTATTCCAGAGTTTATGTGAGGATAACAGGTTTTCATTTCAACACCACAGCACGCAAATCTTTTCCTTTTAAAAATAAATGACCTGTTCATTTTTATTAGATGTCTACAATGGTAATACACATTTTTCACTGAGAAGGAGGACATTGCCCTGACAACATAGAAGAGGAACAATCTATAAGTATGTTGTTGAAACATTACCCTGCTGATTTGATTTCTTCTCTTTTCAAATTGAAATAGCACAGATGGTTATAAATGCATCTTAGGGGAAACAGATTGGGACCTGATTTA